GAGAGCAACTCCAATGTTTTTCTTCTCCTCCTTCTCATTTGGTGTCTCTTCAATCTTATCGAGGTCCACCTCATCTTCAAGCATCATTCATGAGTGAGGAGAGAACCGATTAGCTCTTCAAGAGTTAAGGACTTTAGGTTCTTAGCCTCGATGATTGTCGTCTTCTTAGATTGCCATGATTTTGGAAGCGAGTAAACTAACTTCCTCACAAGCTTCTCGTTAGGAATGATCTCTCCATATGATTTGAGACTATTGGCAATAGTTGAGAATCTATCCGTCATAGCTTTGATATCTTCATTTGGTTTCATCCTGAAATTTTCATAGCTATGTGTTAGAAGACTAATTTTAGATTCTTTTACCTCGTCAGTGCCTTCATGAGTGACTTGTAGTTTATCCCATATTTCTTTGGCGGTTGTACAAGATGAAACTCTTCCATATTCATCTGGTCCAAGAGGACAAAATATGATATGTATAGCTTTGGAGTTGAGCTGGAACATTCTTGTCTCTCATTCACTCCACAATCTTGGATGAGTGAGAGGTTTGATATATCCGTCTTCTACAACATTCCATGATCTCATGTTACTGGATTGAATGAAATACACCATCCTATTCTTCCAATAGGCATAGTTAGCTCCATTGAAGAAAGGAGACTTGTTGACAGGCATCGAATCGAGACCGGAGTCGACGTTTAAAATGGAGGCCATTGATGACTTTGATTATCGATGTAACTCTTCCCGGATCTACTCAAGAGGTGATTAAACCTTTAAATGAGTCAAGCTCTGATACCAATTGTTGAGTTAATCGATCGATGGAAGCGGCCAAGAGGGGGTGAATTGGCAATTAAAATTTTGGTGGAAGCTTTTGCAGAAAATTGAAAGTAATTATACAGCGATTTAGATTGGTTTGACTTTCTCAATCAAAGTCTACGTCCACTACCTTAGCTATCCACACTAAGGATTTTCCAACAAATTCACTAATTTTTTCTTTCTTTTGAGGCCAAAGAGATAACCTTACAACTCTCTCAAGAATATACCCTAATTCTTGATAACACTCTTTCTCAAAGATAATATTACAAATTTGCAAACTTACAAGGAAATCCTCACAAGGTAGAATGTTTGCACAATTCTAGAACAAAGAAAAGAACACTCAAAAATGAATACAATTGAGTACAAGTAGTGTTCTAGAAAGCAAAATGAATATTGAATGAAAAAAAGGCTTGAAATGCTCAAACTTGAGGTTTGATGCTTTCTCTTTGATTCTCTCTTGATTCTAGTTGATTGTTGTTTCTTGTTTTTTATCAATGGCTTCTATGCTTGTTTAAATACACCTTCAAATGATTATGAATGTTGGGGATGATTAGTGGATTCAATAGAGTCGTTTTAGTGTGAAATCAATTAATAAAATAGCTTGGAGCGTGGGGGGAATCGATACCTCCTCATGGGGAATCGCTTCCCTAAGTGTAAAATTCAAATATTTTGACTGTTAAACACGGGCAATCGGTACCCCCTTGGGGGGGAATCGGTTCCCTCTGAGCATTCTATTTTTCTCGGAGCCAAACCATTCAGGGGGAATCGGTTCCCTCTGGACATTCTGGAATTTTTGGCTTTAAAATGGTTCGAAATGTTTTGTAAAATTGTTTTGAAATTATTTTAAGTTTAAAACTTAATTTTACACTTGAGTAAGGATTAAAAATGACATTTGAAAGATTTGGAGTAATATTTTGATATTCGAATAATTATATCGAATATACTTAGAAAATCTTTTTGGAAAATCTTAAAATTCATTTATCTTAATTTGTTATATCGAAATATCAAAATGTTTTCAATAGTGGATTGGATAAATTTGTTTACTTATGTCCCTACCTGTTGTATCAATCTAGTTAAGAAATTAGAGACCCATGTAAAGATTAGGGAGATTATTCTTAGGTTGATTCCTAGATGTATTAATTGGGAGGCTAACAAATTAGCTAAAGAAGAAATTGGGTGAATTATAGGGCACTTCTGGGTGCTCTAATTGCATTAGAGAGTTTTAGTTTTGGTATTGTACAAGGAACGATATCTTTTTTTGGGCTTTTAATAAATTAGAGGCACTTTTTTCCTCATTCCGCTATTTGTTCCTTTCCTTTGTGGTATGGGTCAACTATAAAGGGTGTTTCTAATGAAACCTCCTACTTCTATCAAAAAGAAAATGGGGAGATGTATTCACGATGTTATCTTCAATGTCTCCCCTAAAGATAATGAGGCTGTAAAAAAGAATCATCTTCAGAAAAAGTACCATCAACACTAATTAAAAAAAAGGTCTTAGAAGGTGGGTGATAATATTTTTTTTTAACTTTTTTGTGTAGACAAATATCCAATGAATCGACATTTAATAACACATGGATCTAATTGTCCCTTAATATGAGAATGAATACGAACAAACGCAATACATCCTGAAACACGAGGAAAAAAATAATATGAGATCGAAGAGTTAGGGAAAAACTTAAGGAGGACATCAATTAGACTTTGTATGTCAAGAACATGTGAGGATTCTTGAATAATTCCTTTTCCTTGAAAAATGTAGAAAAAATCTATTAAAAAATTGCATTGTCTGACCTAAATCTTTTAGCTTTCACAACAAATTGAGTATGAACCATATTATAAAAATTAGGAAAGACGATTTATGTTCGAGGAGGAGATAGATCCACGTGACACGAGTACAATCGTCTATAAAAGACAAAAACATCAAGCACCATAGACTTTTGTAACAATTAGCACTATGACTGAGTAAAAGAAATGAAGGCTCTTTTATTACTTACTCGAAATGAAACACGTTTTTGTTTGGCCAACTCACAATCAGTGCCATGAAATATATCTTAAAAGATAATTGGGTTATCCTAAAAGGTGGTTGACCTAAATGACAATAATGAAGCCAAATTTTATTTTGGTTTGTCCTAACAGATTCCAAAAGAATTTATGATAGATTGCAAGTTTGTTCCAAGAAGTAGAGATCATCTTTTTGACTAGCTTGCTCAATCTTCCTCTTCGTGTCTATTGCCTGATAAATAAAATGTGAATGGGGAAAGGTTACAATGCAATTCAAATCAGTGGTTAATTTGTGAATAGAAATAAGGTTGGCAAAGAGATTTGGAACATGGAGAACATTTTTCAGGATAAGGTCTTTATCAAGGTAAATGTCCCTTGGCCAGTGGTGGTGTCATTTGCTATGGTGATCTTTGAACGGCTATCGCTTGGGGTGTAGTTGAGGAAATATTTTGAAGAATAAGTCATATGGTCATTGGCTCCAGAACCTATTACCCTTATGAGAGGAGAGGTTATTTTTTAGATAGTAGGATAAAAGGAAGAGGAATATCTGACAACATCGATGGACAAGTACCTGTCGAAGATAGATTTTCAAGAGATTTCAACAAGTTTTCTAGTTTCTCAATTTCCTCAATATTAAACTTAGGAGAAGACTTCTTTTCTTTACTAGTCGAGAGAGAGCTTACGGAAAGTGTTTTGATTATGATCACTTACATTTCAAGCGGGCAGTTGTCTTGTCATGGAGTTTCCAAAACTTTTGACTGGGTAACGAGGCTTTTTATAGTATGTGCAAAATTGGGCATCACGATAGTCCGACTCCAAGTGAATATTCTGCAAATCACCTACTGTAACAACAATACTCTCAACATTAAAGGCATGAGTGACAAAACTCGTAATCTTGGCTGAATCAAATGAGACTAGGTAATAGGTAACATTGTTGATAGCGATTTATGTGTGAGAGGGCTGGTTATCTTGGCTAAACCAGTAGGGTTTTCCGACATATTCAATGGGCTAAAAATTCTCCGATCAGGAACAAAACCTAAGCTGATACCATGTTATAATCTAGGAAATAAACTGAAGAAGAGGGAAAGAATAAAAGAGGTACTGAAAGAGAAATTTGATTTGAATTTATCATATTACAATAGTTTAAATAAATTGAGTTGCTGACTTCTAATAGGACATTTCTGCTAAAGATAAAATTCTAAGACTCCCAAACAGATGAGACTTCTACACCGCTGATTCTGACAAAAACAACATAAATTGCATTCCACGTGCTTCTGTTCCATTTGTGGTATTTCATTCTATTTTAAAGTCACAAGTTTTTCTCATTTTTTTACCTTGTGTCTTTTGAAGTGCAAAACTTATCTCGCACACGGCATAATATTAGCGCATCAACTGGTTTGAGTGATCCAGCTGTTGCCACTGGAATTTCTGATCTTGTTTTGTGAATCTAAACCGGCTGCTACCGAGTCCGATACGCTTGATGATGATCTAGTAAATGCTTGGGCAGCCAACCTTGGTGACATCCCGGCGGTGAACAGGATAAGAAATTATGTTTTACCTGAATTTTTATTCAAGTGATGCTTCTGTTTAAGGATTATAGTTCTGGAATCAAATGCCTATTCTCTATGTGTTAACTTTTGTTGGTTTGACTATAGATGTTAGCTGATTGTGCACTGTACTCTAATTGATTTTTGATAGAGGGCATACTTACGTTAACTCTTTTCATGCATGTGAGCGGTCTGATAATCTGCAAGACAAATGGTTGCGGAAATGACTTTCATATCTACAGAGAATTAATGCATTAAACTCCCAAACATGATAGAAGGCTATTAACTTTTACAGCCTTGAAGCTCTATCATGCAGTGCAGCCGCACCATGTTTTTTTGTTGTTTTTGACCCTACCATAAAGCTTGCATACTTATCATTATTATTATTGCCAATAAAATGTAAGGAATCTTTACCCTTTTTATGTTGTATGAAACACACACAAACTATCTCACACTGGTTTGAGAATGACCTTTTCCCCAAAGGTTATCCTTGTATCGTAATGTCTGCATTGATTGAGAAAGAAGTTCCGGTTAGTTTCAAAGAGTTCCAATAATTACAAGATCACATCTATGCACTTTACCTTTTTCTTTCTAGGTTGTGATTACTAATGTTCCAATTGAGGTTCATCTTCTCTCTACATCATTCTAGGTCAATGAATTTCTTGCCGGTGCTGGAACTGAAGCACCAGATGTTGATGAGAACATTGTCTCTAGACCTTCTGGTAGTTATGATGACATGTGGGCCAAGACACTTTTGGAGAGTACAGAAATGGAGGTATGATTTCTTCCAAATCCCTCACATGTTGATTGATGTAGATTAATAGTATCAAAATTTGACTGGACTAAAAAACCTGCTTGGAACCGAACCCTGACCATTTTGGACTGACTGCAAATGTCAGACTCGTGAACCTGAGGGGAAAGAAAATCTAAACAAGAAATGACTGGAACCAAAACTCAAGACTGAACCAACTCAAAACCCAGAAAACTTGAATGCTTCATCATTAGTGCCCAAATGATCAAATGTTAAAACCAATCAAAATTATATTAATTAATCGATATTTATGAAAATTAATTGATCAATATTTATTGTTGTAAACTTTTAGTTATGTGAAAAATAATTGATCGATATTTATGAAGTTATTCTTCAACCCAAGACGTTTTCTCTTCATTAATTCTAATAGTGAACTTTGCAAAATGTTAAAATTGAAACTATTATCAATTAATTCTAAATAACATGATGTTTAATTTGTTGTAATTTTTAAGCATTAAAGTTCTGCCAGTAAATTTGCTCATTTAATAGAATTCTTCTTAAGTTAGTATTTGCTTTTTTTTCTTTCGCCAACAAGGTAGTATTTGCTTTTTCTTGGCCAACAAATTAGTATTGTTTATGAACAGCGTTTTGTACTTCTAATAATCTCCATTACTCAATGATCCAATCCATTTTTTCAATGAAAAAGTTTAAAAAAATTCTTGAAAAATTGAAATAAATATTAAAATATTATTAATAAAAAGAGAATAAAACACACAAAAATGCCAACAGTGAGTGTATAGACAAAACTATTGTACCATTATATTAATGCAATGAACTTATTGAAATGGTTATAGGTTATATGAATGTTAAACTCAAAAACTGGCAGCTTGAACCCAAAATAGTCCAAATATGACCCTGTTCGGAATTACACTTGAGGGAGACTGTTTGACTTAAATCCACCTGATTACTATAGACTCGGAGTTTGAAACAATGTGCATTTTGGCTATCTGAGATATTGACCATTTCGATGGTATTTCTTGACTTGCAGGAAGATGATGTCAGGTTGTTAGGTTCTTCTTCTCCTGAGTAAACAGGATCGGTTGAAACTTCCATATCATCTCACTTTGGTGGAATGAACTATCCTTCATTGTTCAGTTCCCGACCAACTACTTATGGGGCTTCACAACCATCGGTATATAAAATGCAATCAATATTCTTGGTTAATAAGTGGTTTTCTGATATACTTATCTAAGTTTCCATTCATTCATTCATACTATAGTTCTTGTTCCATTTATTTTCATGGATTGGTTAGGAAACATTATCTATTGATTGTAAACTGATGCTTCCCTCTGCTATGGACTTGTCATTAGTTCTCCATTAAGATGATTGTTTTATTCAAGGGTTGGGGGGAGGGGGAAAGGAATGTGTTGAATATTAATGGCCCAAAATTTTCAGTGGTGCATTTGTTATTATGTTTGCTTTCAACGAGACTTTCTCTTTTGCAACTATGCAATAAGCTTTGTTGTCATAGTAGAAAAGCTAAGTGCTGCATAATCAAATTGCTAGGTTGTATATTTTAAAGACCATGGAGGGTTAATGCATTTTTGACAATTAAATTATTTGTATAGTAGTTCATGTTTTGTTCAAGAATCAAGAATTGTTCTCGTTAACAATTAACAAAGTGAACAAAATGTTGCTGTTGTTTGTGGTGAATCTTATCTCCTTTTCTGTGTCTTTGACTTTTTAATTTTGGCCGGTTCAACTTCCTCTAGCAGGAGAGATCAGGTGGAAGTAGGTTTAATAATCCTTCATCTATGTATGAGTGTTATGGTTATCCAGTAAGTATTATTTTCCCTATGCAATCTATTCTGGTATCTCAGATTTATGTTTTATTTCTGATTCACCAGACATTCTCAGATTAGAGAAGAACCTCCACCATATACATCACCTGAACGCTATGATTCATTTGAAAACTCCTTAGCTGGTCACGGGTCCCACAGTTTTGAGCCCCGGGGTGATGATCGTGTGTCTTCTGGAAACCCACAATTCGGGACCGCATTGTATGATTTTACTGCCGGTGGAGATGATGAGGTAAGTTGCCTCTGCCAGCCAGGATTGTCTTTGAAATTTGAAGACGGTTCATTGTTCATAACAGATTTGCTAGCTTGCCTTCGATTTTTATTCACCGCTGGTTTTGATTTTTGCAAATCATAAGAAAGTTGCATGTAAAATAATAAATTTTAATGGTATAGACCTTTCAGCCAACTAGGTTTCTTTGCCTATTATCATGTGGTAGGAATGGTGCTATGAGTCGATTATCTCATTTGGTTTGGGTGGCTATGCTCAGATGACTAATCACGATTTCCTTGATTGCAGTTGAGCTTAACAACTGGAGAAGGTGTTGAGATCGAGCATGAAGTTGATGGATGGTTTTATGAAGTACTATAGAAGAATGTTGAAAATTGAGTTATGATCATGCTTATCCAATTATAGTTTGGGTGTATACTTGAAATATGGTCGTCTTTTCCATCTGAAATTGTTATTGAGCACACGTTTTTGGGCACAGTTTCTATATCACAGACTATATCAAGGCATCCTTTAGGTGATGCTAAGTTAGATTCTTTTCAAAAGACAGGAGAAATGCATAAGAAAATAAACCTTGGTTGGATGAGCAGGAGCTGGGCGAAATGGAACTTCTAGCTCCAACGGGGGGTCAACTGGCTTCTCTTTTTGTTTCACCTCAACATGCTCGGCATCTGATTCATAACGAGCATCTTCATCATGCACCATATCTTCAAGTCTTGGACTCTTCCCATAGCTCCCTTCCTCCTCCATAGGAAATCTCTAATGGATAAAAGAATTTACATCAAACTTCTAACATGACTACAAGCAGCCCAAAAATTCTATAAAGACAAGAATAAGAAACATATTGCTTTTGACATTTGATACAACTTCCTCTTGCTCCATTTCATGGCGAACTGCATATTCTGCTTCTTCTTCTTCATCGTCATCATAAGCACCAAATACATGATACATCACGAATTTCAGAAGCTGAATGTGAAAGGTGAGTCGGATCCTTCTCCCCCGGTGATTTGCTGCCATTAAGCCAAGTTAGGCACAACAGTAAGGACAAGAATGCATCCAAGGAATCGTTATTATATAAGGCTGTGCATCTATTTTTTTTCTTTCAGTTTTGGAAAAAAACCTTTTGCATTTTAGAGAACTTGTAATACAGTGCCAAATTAACAAGCATTGAACACAAGACAAACAAAATATAGGAGAGCAACAATAAAGGGGAAAAACAGAGAAATGGAGACTGATTAAGGGATAGAGCAAGTTACCTCGTACTTCTAGCCTGATCAACCTCTGCATCTTCATTATCAGTATAATGGTTTTCCTCAGACCTTTCTGAGCCACTCTCAGTCATTTCTCTTCTCCGGCTAGTCACTACCCTCTGCCCATAATCTTCTTTTCATCACTATCTGTATCTTTCGCTTCACTCCCTTCTCTTTGATCGTCGATATCTACTTCTTGGGAACTTTGTACTCTTTGTTTCTTGGGAACTTTGTATATGGTTTCTTTGCTTTTTTTATGTTTTTTTATAAAAATAAATCTACATTTGTAACGTTTATCTCTATCTTCATGACATGTTTTTCTATCTTTGTGGCTCATTATCGCTGTCATTATGACGCGTTATATATATCTTTGTGGTACGTTTTTTCTGTCTTTGTGGCATATTTTTTTGATCGTTTGACCGCTCTTTTTATTTTATGTTTTCTTAGGGTTGGATTTGACGACGTCACGACTGATCAAGATGACGCTTATTGTAATCCAGTTGATCTTTCCTGCTATCGACCCTCAGATTGAATTTGGATACGCGATTTTGTAATCATGATAATTTCTTACAACGCTCAGCTCTGATTTACGATTCTCGTTGATTTTTCAATAACTTAATCCTCTCTTGTGGTACGTTTGTCAATGCAGTCATATTTGTTTGTATCTATTTTTTGTTCGAGTATTTTGGTTGGTTTTTAATCTTTTCCATGTATGTCTTTATATATCTAAATGACTAATTTTAATGTTATACGATAATGTCCAAATTATGTATTTAGTTTATAATAATAATTGTAAATTCTTATTGTAATCTTGGATATTCAATTTTTTAAGAAGACTAGTGCTTCTATTAAAAAATGATATTGTCATTTATAAAATTTTAGACTTTTATTTTAGACATTTTACTTTTTTAGAATTTTTATTTTAAGATTATTCTCAAAATTAAAAATTTAAAAATTATTTTTTATAATTCACAAGATAAATAAATAAAATTTTATATATAAAATAATAATTTAATATTTTTAATCATCATTATCTTTTAAAATTTTATCAAATTAATATTTTGGTTATAAATCAGGATTAAATTAGATTTTATAATCCATCATTTAATGATAACAACTTTGATGAGAAATGATCAAAGTATTAAAATTAATATTAGTGATTATTTCGTACAACCAATTTACCTCAATGATTAAAGAAATTATGTTATTCTTAGAGAAATCGATTCGAGTATCAGTGACTGCAAAGGTGATTGGTGTATATTGTTAAATGATTAATAATATTGAAACAAATATTATTTTATAATCACTTAAACTTAATAAAATATTAGTGAATATTTCAAAAATAATTATAATTAGAGATAAAAATAAAATTTTAGTAACAATTAGTTAAGCTAGGATCCATTTACCTTTTATATATGTAGTGCCTATCCAAATGGAAATTATCCCAAAACGGATATCGTTCTGTCTGTGAAGCTACTCTGCGTTTTCCACATTTCAGTATGCAACTCGGTGCTCCTCGCATTAATTTATGGGAATGCCTTGATGGGTTTTGTTAGAGATTGAAAGCATGTTGATGTTGGATTTTACACATTAATGAGCACTTCAACAGTATATTTGTGTCCCAATTTAAAGCTATCCCAAACATCTTTATTCCCCGTTTCTAGGCGTAATCAACCCCCTTTTTTGGTTCGATTCAGTTGCAAAAGAAAAAAGTTTTTGATTTCGTCGCAAAAGCGGAAAACAGCAATAACAAATATTCTAGGAAAAGGAAAACAAGCTGGTGGAGAAGATTCTTTTTCGAGGATGAAGGAAATTGGCTTGGTCTCAAGGACGATGATATGGTGGAGGAAGGTGGGGATGTGTTGTCAGACTCGGAGGAGGATTTGTCAGGGGGAGGAAGTTTTGAGTCATGGAAGAGGAGGGCTGAGGCAATAGTAGAGTTGAGGGAAGCGCAAGAAGTATGAGAAATGAGGAGAGCAGAAGATGGGAGGATTGGGTTGTGGTTGTTGATGGGAATGAAGATAGGGATGATAACATGCTTGGTTCTGCAAATGACTGGGATGATAATGGGACCGGCGGTGGCGCTGGTCCTGGCCTTGGCCTTGGCGTTGGGGAGGAAAAGGAAAAGGGATTGGTTCAGTCTATCAGAGATTTGGTTCTTGGGAGTGACGATGAGGATATCTTGTACGAGGATCGTGTTTTTCGGTATGCCTCCTTCAATTCGGTAAGTTATTATCTTCGAATTAGTGTATAATAGATTTACACCTTCTGCAATTTTTAACATTTTACGTTAAAGGAATTATTAATCATTTTTAATTTATTCAAAATTCTAGATATATATCATATAATATGAAATATAATGGTCATGCATATATCTATACATTCCTTGGCCTTGGATATATATTAAAGCTTTTTCGACTACCTCTTCATTGTTTTAGTTTACTCATCAGCATTCTCCGAGTTTTAAATGTAATTGCTTGTGATTAAGTTCTAAGTACTTTTATGACCAAGGGCCTAAGATGCTCATACGTTTTTTGGGGTGACAGGCTAAGTTTTTGGCAACGCTGTTAGTTATACCTTTGGCCTTGGATTTTGTGGTTCATGACTATGTGCTTATGCCATTTTTGGACAGGTAAGAACTATGGCTCAAGTTCAAATGGTTAATCTTTCCTTTTGAATAATATATAGAAGCACAGTAAATTTTATTATCATGACTTATCCTGTGTGTCTTCTAGACAATTCCCCCTTGAAGCACTGCATCTATGCAAATCCTTCCTGTTAAACTTGGAAATAGCTCTATTGATCTGTCTATCTATCTATTGAACATCATTTTAAGGGAAGGAACAATGTCCTTGTTTAGTGAAGACAATTTCAGATTGGTGATGCAAATTAAGGATTTACAATAGTTAGATGAACCTAAAAGATAACTGTTTTAATACTTTCTTTCGCCCAAAACCCCTTTTTAATAATCATTAAAGTAAATTTTATTGATATATGCTTTTCTGGAATGGATGAAGCAATAATAAGAGGCTTTACCGTGAACAGATATGTGAAGATTGTGCCATTGGCAGCAGAGATTCTCGATGTAAGAAGAAGTCAAAAGCTTGAAATGGTTAAGCAACTACAAGTTGAAAAAGCAAGATTCCGTTTTGAGGTGGAGATAGGTAAGTCTCCACCACTTTCGGATGAAGAACTTTGGTGGGAATTGCGACATAAAGCGTAAGATCGATATTGCCTTATGTTCCTCTTTCTCCTATTCCCATATCTCATTTATTTTCTCCCTTCTACTCTCTCTCCGAACCGTAAACCTCTATTATAAGTCACTGTACAAGGCCGTTCTTTGTTTCGATCAATATTCTACTATATTTGATCTAATAACTGATGTCTGATTTGGTTATATCAATGCTGTGAAAGTAAAAGCTCTATACCAATAATTTGGTTGTAGTATGAAAAATAGAAATTTAGGGTTGAAATGATGCACAAAGTAACAGATGTTAAATAAAACTGAAGTTGTGACACTAATTAGGGCATTTAAATCAAGAGATCAGGGGTAAAAGAACCTAATCTAAATTAAATAACTCTTATAAACTCGTCTATGAAACTTCTACATAGGCTATATACCATGTATAAAGTGGTATGTGCACAGAAGTTTTCTCTATATTTTCTTGATATTTATTGACAAAGGTAGAACCTATTATAGGTTACAAATGAAGGCTAAGCTAGGAAAGTCACAAAATCAACAGTCAAATCCCTAAAAGTCAGCATCTTCTATTTGGGAATGCAATCCCTAATTTTCTGTAATCTGTTCTAATTTACTAATATTATTCTGTTCACACAAATTACTACACTCCCCCTCAAGCTGGCATGTATATATTGTATAGTCCCAGCTTGGATGGGTTCGCATCAAAGGTAACCTTTGGTAGTGCCTTGGTGAACACGTCAGCAAGCTGTCCTTTTAAAGAGAAAGTTTAATTGTAGTAGTTAACGAAGAGAGAGGGTTGTGAATCTGGGAACAAACCTTTTGCTTTTACGTTTCCTTTATAGAAACACCACGTTAACAATAAATGCGGTTATTTATTCATCAGCTTTCTCAACAACCAGGATTTCCAGCTTCCATACTCTGCAATTTAAGAATATATACACATTTTAAAGTGCTGGTTCGTTTTATAGAATTTGTCTCTTCTGGCATAGCTTTTATCCACTCTCCCTTGTGCTCATGAGACATAGCCAAGAACCAATGAACCTTATTAAACTTATGCCTTAGACACCCTCCAAACTTATCCTTGCACCTTTTGCTATTCCCCTTCACCGTCCCACAAAAAGATTGTACAAACGAACTTGTGTTCATGTGCATTTGTTTATTTTAAGCTTGTTCGCATTAGTTCGTTGTTAAGAATTTTAAATTTATATTTGTGTTCATTTAATGTGTGTTAAGATTCGTTCGTATAAATTAAATGAACTTGTGAACGTTAGATTGAATGTGTTTGCAGACAATTAAAACTTTATACATGAACAAACACAAACAAATCTGAAAACAAACCAAAATAAATAGTTTTTACCTGTTTTTATAAAATAATCAAACATAAATATTAATAATTATATTAATAAATAAAATGAAAGCACAAATAATAATATTTTATATATTAATCAGAATAAACGAGCTTTGTACGATTAATTACATGAACTTTAAACCATTCATAAGTGAGTTTATTTATGAACATAAGTGAACTGAACATGCCTTGTTCATCTTCTGTTTGCTTAATAAACAAGCCTCAAATTCTCGTTCACTTTCATTTATTTTGCTTGATAAGCAAACATCCATGAACATAAACCGAACTGTTCTTGAATTGTTCGTAGAATACTCTATTCATTTACATCCTTGGAATATTTTCTTTTACATCCAAATGATGGCAAAGTATTGCAGGGAAAAATAGGTACAGTGGTACCTTTGCACAAAAGTTTAAATTAAACTTGCAGCCCTCAATTTAGTAATAGTGAATTGTACCATTACCTCTAAACTCATAAGCGTATAGAAGAGAAGATAGAAAAGTTATCAGTATCTTGTTATTATTTTATGTTATACATTTTCTTTTGGTGCATCAATTTTATGACGCAAGGTTTTGTGATTATTTAGACTCTCTTTCTGTTTTTGGTGAAGTTTTTTTTATTGGAATTTGGGAATTCATCTTAATATTTCTTTCTAGGATGCTATACTCAAATGTTGTAGTTGTTTCCTTCATAATGATAAACGAAGCTACCTAATGCAGTGTACCTTTTGATACTTCCAATCTATTGAAGACCTTCCAACATTACTGCAATTATGTTTACATAAGAGAATGCACTTTGACTTGACATTATGTTATATATAAGAAAGCAATTCTACAATTATATCGCGAAGTTTGTATTATTAAAATTTCCCTGCAACATAATATCCTCTTGCCCTACTCTGTCAAGCTAAATTTTGCTGTCCTGTGAATAAAATTCTTCAACAGGTTAGAGTTGCGAGATGAGTTCAGATTAGAGAACCGTAGAGCATTTGCCAACATATGGTCAGATATGGTATTTGGCATTTCACTGTTCCTTATCTTACAGCTCAATCAAAGTAAGGTAAATGTCTCTTTAGAGTTTCTACATTATGGTATTCCCACATCTAATACTACTGTTTTGATTTCTTACAAATAGTTGGAATATTGTGTACACGATATAGCAATCAACTTGGGGATCCGTTATTTTTTGCCAATAAACTTAGGGTAACATTCTTTCTAAATAGGTATTTCTGCACCAACAATTATTTCCATATTATAAATAGAACTCTTTACCAACAATGGCACTTGATTAAGGCTTAATATAAAAAGAAGTGCCCAAATTATATCTCTTTTCCCATTTAGGTGCCTTAACTTTTTTTCAGTCAATCTAGGTGCCTAACGTTACAAACGTTATCATTTTAAGTGCCTCGGCCACAATGGACGTTAAAATAGTCCGTTAAATGGCATGTGTCACATTTTTAAAAATATATATATTGTAAAAAAGTTTAAAAAATACGAGAAAAGAGGTCTTGTAATAATTTTGAATTAGTTACTGAATTATAAAACTTGTGAGGGTGGTTGTATGGGTAATATTGTGCATCCATATCGTCTACGGTCTTTTTACTTTCTAGACATGGATGATTTTTAGTATAACATTCTATTCTTGGGTTTTTAGGTGTCCAAAATCCAAACTAAATAAATGTGATTCTCTCATTTTTCTTCTTCAATGCTTTGCAACCCTACCTTTTTCTATTGCACTCATTGCTAATCTCTCTTTTCTTCTTTTGGTAAATGTAGACACTCGGCTTCACCTTCCACACCTATTCTTTTTACGTTTTTCTTTCTGTTGTGCATGGATGAATTTACACTTCTTATGATGCAATTTATGTTAATATAGGAATGCAAAGGGAAATCAATGGTTCCTTCAATGGAAGGAAAGGAAAGGAAAAGATACATACTTATTAGGATAGCTAAAGGAAGTCAAAGGAACAAAAGGGATTACAACAAATAATATTTTATCTAGTTCCAGAACTCAATGTTTTATACACCTAGCTGACCAGCTAACTAGTTTAGCATTTCCGACACCAAATGCAGAATCTATGGGAATTAATTCTGTCATGTAAATACAGAATCTACAATCTCCTATACATACACAGTTTTGACCTTATCAAACTAGGTAAACTTATCATAACTAGTATCCTAAAAAGTTAGAATTCCTATCTGATACACACTATTATCCGATATACAGTTCGTTAAAACCAACAGTCAATACACGCAGTTTACCAAAACTCAAAACACTCGCACACTCTATCACATTATCTGATAAAACTTCACACCAAATTTTAGAGAACTACCATAATCATCTTTTAACTTATTAAAATCCGCAACCTTACTACAGAAACATTGATGGACACAGTCCTACATCCACCTATAAATTTATTTTCGACACTAGATTGATTTGATTCATCCTGAAACACTATTTATCTAGCAAACTTAACAGAGGTGTTACCGTGAGTAGCAAACTTTTAAGAGTAGCAATAGAACCTTGAATGACAAAGATACCGAATAAAAGCAGAAAGTTCTTTTTCATAGGATTGACACTTCCAACGTTGTTAGTTTGTTACTTAAAAGAAGCCTGGAGGATGACATTCTTGACTGGATACCCCATCTCTGTCTATCCCGGAAGCATCACATGTATGTTCCGAAATTTCAGATTCAATAATTTAGGAGCCTCGCAGATGGTCTCTTCTTAGTATCTAAAAAAGAACCTAGTAGCCAAAGGGTCCCCAGAGCTAAGACTCTCAGTAATAGGGGTCATGATATTGGTTATGCAATATTTTGTGAACTATTTGGGAATTGGTTTCTCAAAGTCAAGCTATTAGGGAACTGCCTAAACCAAATTTTATATCTGAGGCTTGTCGTTTTCATGCGGGGTTTCTTTATATAGGAAACCCCATGGACAATAAAGGCCACCTAAATACCAATAAAATCCAATACAATGAACCAAATAAATAAGCCCACAAAATCGATTTCCTAAAGTCTGGAAGACTGACTGAGGTAATTGTTGAGCATTCTATCTGTATCCACATTATGTTTACATATCATATCCAGATAAGTGATCTAATTATTTTTGTCTCTGAATAATGTTATGTCTATAGCCAGATTATTGTTCTTGCAGAAGCATGTTTGAGAATGTTTCTAACCTTTTATATGATCCTAATTTTATGTACTACTAAGTGCATATTTCTTCTAACTTTTCTCACCATTTTCTTCAGGTAGCTTTGCTGAAATTTGCAGGTTACAAAATAATAAGTAATATTTCAGATACTGGAAAGGCATTCCTCATTATACTGATTACAGACATTTTTTTAGGGTAAGGTGTTTTTATAAAAACTGCTATTGCGCTATATTTATATGTTTACGGTATTGAGTTAATGTTGAATATCACAATAGTAGCTTCTATGAGAGACAATATAATTTCGGTTTTTACATGTTTTAGATTGGTTTCGCATTTTTAAAATCTATATATGTTTAAATATATATATATATATATATATATATATATATATATATTATTGATCAATTTCCAATATTATCTAATAGACACGTCCAAATCTTAATCAGAAGAAAGCAAAGTCATGTCCCCTTTAAATATTGATTAAAATAGGAAAATCAATTTGGATATATACTAATTAATTTTCTGTTTAAAAGTTTTTCCTCCCTTCATCTTCATATACTTCTTGGTTCCAAACTCTCAACTAAAAACCAAAATACAGAAAATGATGAATTTTGTATATTTTTTCTATAGTATAGCTTATGACTTGAATATCTGCAGTTATCATTCTGAATCGGGTTGGCAGACTTTGCTAGAGATAATTGTCGAGCATTATGGACTCCAAGTTGATCAATCTGCTATAACGATTTTTGTCTGCCTGATTCCTGTTGTTATTGATGCATGTGTGAAGCTGTGGGTACGTTTTACTTGCAAAATTCTTTGCATTTATTTTTACTGATAGAAAAACATGGAATTATATTCATATTTTGCTGTTCAAACATGGAATTATATTCATATTGAAATGATTGGATACATATTTTATACAACAATTGTTAGAGTTGTGTGACCCGAAGAGTTAGTTTGCACGGGAGAGATGTTTTGACTTTTGACTGTGGATGATTTTCTCAAATCCTTTTCTTACATAGATGGAGGATAAAGGCAACAAATGTGACATCGGTAGAAACTAGAAACATAATTGCTGCATATATATGTATAGATGAACTTCATGTGCATGAACACGTGGGTTTTATATGATTAAAGATCTGTGTATGTTATTAATCTTCTCTGTTATCATGATTTGGTGCAGATGTTCAAGTTTCTTCCCAGGTTATCCCCAAGAGTTTCAAATATATTCCGGGAAATGAAACGCCACTAGTGATTCTTGTAATCTGGAGGGTTTTCCTCATGATTTGCGGGAATATTAAACAAAGTAAGATTGTAAAATGTTTTTTTTTTCCCTATTGGATTTGTCTCATTTGCACGTATCAGCTATTAGGCATCGACTTATTAATAAAATAGCTCATACTCTATTTAAAGTGATCTTATTATGTATAAATCACATTGAATGAGGTTGTTTGCATTTATTTATTGTTCTCCATGAGAATGATGGATAGAGGGTATGAAATGAGTCGGTTGATTCAGTCTATTTTTCCCCGATGAAGATGATGTATTGCAAGATCCAATAACAATCTTATCTTCATTCGGTAGCCTGCTATATGTTTATCTTATATTCATCGAAACCAAATTCCAATTTACTTTCATATGGAATTCAAATTTATGTTATTCTATATCAAGGATTTTCCTCATTTTTTTTCTTCTTTTTGTTAAATCTCTCACTGCGGTCAACCTTCTCTTGGGACTTCGGTGGGTTCTGAGAATTTTCTTCTCTATTATCTTAGTGTAATTTTTCTTACAAGTGCAGTTTGATGTCACATTGCCTGCATTTGCACGCCCAACTATCAGCCTTGATGCAACGGACATAAGTAGAGAGCAACACCATGTTTGTTCATTTGGTGAACATATCATAAATTGCACTGGGGTTGGGTAGCCTATGAGAGTGAGTTTTAGGTGGGATTGATATATAAAAGTTGTTTGAAGTACCCCAAGCACCCTTACAGGTATGCCTATTTCAAATTTTCTAATAGTCCTGCATAATATCGGTAACTCGATATGTCAAAATAAGAATTATGGAAGCTTTGTGGTTCGAAATGGGTGAACATGTTTATTATGTCATATGAAACTTTATAATGCTCATGATGCCTTTTGGTGGCCATAAGATGACATTGAAGCAAGTTGTGCACTTAAGACAAATCTTTAATATGATTTAGATCATAAAATTGCATAGAATGTAGAATGTACAAGACATGTTAAATTCCATTTTATTTTTGAATTTGATGTTTCGAATAGAATTACATGTTATAATCTAGTAAGAAATGTATTTGTATATGTTGCATTAAGTTATTCAAAGTTCATCAAAATTGTAACTCCTCAAACTCGTTCTAGACATTATGATCGAATCACCGAGATCATAATAGAAAAAAAATTGTAAAATTGTAACATTTCTTTTAAAATCATCACCGGTAATCATAGTAAGTTATCAAATGAAGAACCTCTCAAATCATCCTTCTTCTTGTCAAATAATATTGGAGGTGAGTTTGTCATTATTTCTATCTCACTCTCTATCTCGGGGTAAATCAAGCAACTTCTCACGAAACATATATGAGAACTCATTCACCGTACGGAGGTCCCTCAAATGTAGGGTATGAAACCTTTGAATCCATAACATTCACTTAAAAGGCCTCGCAACCCCGACGAAGCATCCTTTGAGCTGTAATTGCTAGAGTAATATGGAAGGAACAACTTTTCTTCTCTCTCGACACCATCCTTGACATTGTAAAAGGTTTAAGCTGTTTCACTAGACGTACAAGATTTTTTATGCTCAAATAACCAATCTATGTTCAAAGTTGCATCAACTCTAGGAATAACATCTCCATCAAATCTTAATCGATGGACCTTATCTACCCACACTTCAAAGTCCAAAGAACTGGATGCACGAACTTATGCCTCTAGATTCTTAACGAGAATACATTTTTTTTACAGATTATATATGAACAGATGTTGGAATGGGTGGACCCTCTGTCCACTAATGCATCGATATGAACTGAAATAACGAAAAGACGCTCTCTATTTCATCGATTTCCTTGTAGTCTTCATTGATCCTCGTTGTGTACTACTTAGTTGGGATATGGGCGTCGAGACTGACAGTTGATCTGGTAGGGCCTCTACTATGTTGACTATACCTGGGGCTAAAACGCCTCTTGACAGGTTCTCTATCACGAGAACCAATGGGATCGACTTGTAGAATGGAGCCAGAATGTCATCAACCGGGTCTAAGCAATCTCTAACAAGGTAATCCGACGAACGACATTCATATTAGTTTGCCCATGTTCATTACATGACATGACATACATTGATGATTTATACACACATAAGATTGTATTTAATGTACATGAATATGAGTTCCTTCCGATATTTGTCGTGATTCGCTTTGATATGGATATTAGGGGTCGTTTGGTTCACGGTATAAGATATTACCAGGGGAATGAAAACCTCATTCCCCTGTTTGGTTGGCCAGTAATCATATTCCTAATAATATTTTATTACCAACAGTAGATTTTTTGGAGTATATTACCGGGAATGTGATTACCCCTTCCCTTAGGTATTGTTGGATTACCAGCGTTTTGAACTAAAATGCCCTTAAAAAAATTCAAAAATATCCTTCTTCTGACGTTGAATAATAAAAATTCTATGAATGTTATCCAACAAATTTATCATTAAACTATTTTATATTTTAAAAAAAAATCTATAATTAAAATTTTATATGAAGTTCAGGGGTTAAAATAAAATTTTACCCTTTCATTAAACCTATTTTTCTTTTCAATTTTGTAAAAAAATTATATAAATTTTATGAATTCAAAATTTTTAAAGAAAATATATAAATTAATTATAGTAATATTATAGTAGAATTCAACTTGTTAAAAAAACAATATAATAAGGACAATTTGGTAAAATATACATTCCAATAATTTTTTATTCCTTTAACCAAACAATATAATCTTACATTCCTGCTAAACCAACCAAACACAAAATACAACATTCTCAGTAATCATATTCCCCAGTAATCTTTTATTCCCCCTTGTAATCTTACATTCCGTGAATCAAACACACCCTTAGAAAAAAATACTAAATAACGAAAACGTATGCTCATTGTAGAAACTCATGACACAACAAAAAAATTTATCACATTTTGTTGGTATCTCGCAACCAAGAACCATAATATAAAGGGACAGATGTATGTTGCCCCTCCCAGTTTTGATGGTTTAATTATATTTTAGGTCATTGATAGTTTTGAAACTATTATAATTAAGTCTTTGTCCCTCTCAAAATTTTTTGATATAAATGTTTCTATGACATAATCAATTTTAAAATTAATGGGATTAAGCCTTTACCCCCAATTTTTATGTTTTAATTACTTTTTAAGACCTTTGAATTTTAAATCTAGTGAAACTAAATCCTTCGTATCTTAATTTTTATGGTTTAATTATTTTTAAGAGCCTATTTATTTTAAATTTAAGCAATTCACCCCCTCATGATTCAATTATGAATTCGTCCTAATATATTCTAATTTTGCATTATAATTTATCATTAATATTTTCATATCGTTCTTATCATATATAGTATGTGATGAGGTTGGACATTAGTTCGGTCCACTGAGTCAGGCTCGTGGTTGCTTGCCTATAGCCTGCCCGTTCCAAGCTAAGAGTGGCTCATGGGATTAGTGCGAAGGCATAGTTCTCTTGAGTCCTAAAGCAGAAGGCACAGCGTCAGGCGGGTTTCATGGAGCACGACAATTCCTTCTCTTGGCAATGGAAGGATAACAGGGGTGATGCAATCATGGTCCAAAATGGCTCCGTGGGCCGTTCCTAATTGAACAACCACATTTTCTACAATTGTAAACCCTACAACACTAAACTATAAAACAACAAAATCAAAACCTAAACTATTTCCAACCTATCCTAAACTATATAAACTGACTCGTTTAATGAAAAAAAAAAGCCTAAATCACTCGACGGTTAAATTTTAATTCAGGAAAGAAAATCAATGGAAGACATGTTTGACTAACGCCTTTCGCTTGAGCTATCACGTATGCTAAAGACAGGTATTAATGCATCACGGTGATGGGAGGTTGTTGGGAGTTGGGGTGGGGTCGGCCGCTTTAGCCTTTACATAAGAAAAGTCATCATCGGTGATTGAAATGGAAAATCACTGGCATCCACTCACATGCCCCACCCCCCATTATCCACACAGTTTCAAACTCGCTTTCTCAATTAATATCATCCGAATCAAATGATATTGATAGTAAATTAATTGTACTCTTTGATATATCAGATTCTAACATCATGAATAACAGAAGTGTAAACGTTTAATATTAAATAATTAAATATTATTTTTAAACATATTATTCTGTACTCATCCTAGGACGTGGGACCCACCGTGCCATGTAAATTATTTGCTAACACATTCCCACGTAAATCACGGATAATGGAAAAGGATTTTAAATATCATTTGTTGCCAGGAGTAAGATTTCGAAGAGCTTCTTCCCTAACAATAACAAAGCAATAAAGGAGTAAGGAAAGAAATAGAATTACAAAGAGTAACAAAGTGCTGTTTCCCTTTGGCCGAGTTCCAGACCACTTGCATGGGATGGGATCTTTTTAAGTAAAAAAACCAACGGACTCAACTAACTTCCCGCCAGAGAAGTTAATAATCCAACTAAAAAGAGGCACATATAGAAGAGAGGAGACAGCACTAGGGTTTGAATGATACGAAAGGAACAGGGGTAGAAAAATCAAAAACCATAAGAAAAGGGTGTTTTCTCCCTCTTACTCTTAGGGACAATTGGCGTTTTTACCAGGGCCGCCATAATAAAAGTAATGGCCCCAATCCCCGTTGCTCCCTGTTTGTACATCATAGCAGTTTGATTGTTCTGTAAAGGTGCCAAGCCCTTTGGGAGCCTTGAGATTGTTGGAGTCATCAACAACTTGTATGTTCCGGAAATAACTAGATTTGCCGAATCCTTCCTCAGGGAAACGCCCGCTGCCCATTTGAGTGGAAGTGTGATGACCATCTGGTTCCGAATTCACAACTTCACCTCCCCACTCGATCATCGAAGCACTGTCTGCCAAGTAGGAGAATAAGAAGGAAGGCCAATAACCAACACGTAGTCTTTACCAAACTGCATCCACCAATGCCCTTCCTTGGGATCCTACAAAACAGTTTCTCACACAGTTAAATTTTTAGGCCACCATCATCATAACATTGATATTTTGATGCACACTATTGGCAAAACCGTTTTTGTCAAAAACCAAAAACAAGGGCGTTGAAAGGCCCATGCAAT